TGCCAGGGCAGCCTCCTGGCACAGCACGTTTGAGAAGGCCGATGCGGGAGTGGCCGCCGGTACCTTACTCCAGGCCAGGCCGCCATCGGATACCCACAGAGGCCACACGGGCAGGCGGCCGGGCGGGTCCACAGAGCGGGGCCAAGTGTTCTGTCTCCCTGCAGGTGCCGTTCTCGTGGGGGAGGCAGGGCTGCCGCGGGGCCTGAGTGGAGGGTAGAGGACCAAGACAAGGGGCTGGGCCTGCTGACACTTCCTAGGGTCACCGCAAGGGCATTTGGATGGGGCCGTACCCCCTCGGGAATGAAGCCACCGTGGGGTCAGGGCAGACATAAAACAGGAAAGAAGTGAACCAGCAAGAGCCAGAGCGTGGCTCAGCAAGGACGGGCTGGGAGTGATTCAGCTGTTCGCTCGTCACACACACACACACACACACACACACACACACACACACACTGTGGACCTGAGAAAAAAGACACCTACTAAGAAGGGCTCCTGGTGGCTAACTGGGCTTAAATTAAAAAACAAAAACAAAACAGAGCCTCGCAGCCATTTCTGCACAGGGAGAAGCTGCACTGAACCACCCGCCTGCGCTGTTTCTGTCGCCTGAGCTGGCCCTTATAAGGGGGGTCCTGGAATCCATTTCAACCAATAGGATTGAGGCTTTCCCCATCCAATCAGAGCTGCACAGCTCTGACCACCCAGAGTGGCTCTATTCTGACCAATCAGCACAGTGGCTTTTGGACCAATCAAACTGCAAGGATTTGGTGTTCTCATTTGCCTGAGGACAGAGGATCAGGGACCAGGGGTCGGCATCTGTCTATATAAGCAGCTCCCCTGTGGTTCTCGGAGTGCACTTTCCCTTCCCACCGGGACAGAGCACCTGAGCTGAGCCCACAGCTGGGCTCTTCGGCAGCCAGGGCTGTTGTCACGTGCACACTATGTTGCAGCCCTGCATGTCACAATTGAGCTGTTTGCACTCAATAGTTTCTTTCCTCACTGAACCCCAAATTGGGGATTCCTGTTGGCATTGAATTGGTTACAATGACCATTGGTTGACCACACACACACTCACATTCAAGTACACCCCCACACACATGCACACATGCTCATACATGCACACATAATAGGCACATACAAACTCACACATACACACACCCCATATGCACACTCCTACACATACATACATGCACATACACATTAATACACACATTCACATACAGATGCATACACACATACATATCCATACACACCTCCCCACACATTAACATACACACACATACACACAGGCACACACACATACACACACTGACATATACATATCCACACGCATAGTCACACACATATACACATGTACATGCATACACTTACAAACACATGCTCACATACACACATACCCACTCACATACACACATGCACGTATACACATACACACATACGCACTTACATACATACCCACATACACATTAACAGATATGCACATACACACACTCACACACATGCACATACATACACTCAGACATGCATATACCCATTCACACTCACATATACACACGCACTCACATGAACACTCATACACATTTACTCACATAAACACACACATTCACACATACACACTCATACACACCTACACACACACTTGCACACGCTCGCACACACTCACACACACACACACACCATCCACCACACATACCACACCTCCTCGCTCTGGCATGCTTAGAGCAGCCATGCACACAAGCTCAGTGCCATTTGGAAGCCCCTCAGACACCCCTGGCGGGCTGGTCCCTGCTCAGACTGGGCCTTCCAGGCACTGGTGCTGAGAGCGCAGGGCCGCGCCCACATCTTCTACACTTGGTTCTGATATACGTACCAATCGACGTCTGTAATAGACACTCAGGGGCCCTGCCACAGCGGGGCCCACTCGACCGCGCCTGCAATATCTAGGGAGGGACCCCAATATCATAAATAGCTTCCCAGGAGGCTCCAGCAGGAATCTGGCTTCAGAGCCATAGACCATATGTGCAGAGAACGGGAAAACGCACTTTTGAAAAAGCCCCATTGCTCTTTTCCATCTTCCCTGCACTCCATAAACGCAGGCCTGTCCTTGAAGGGGAGCCGCAGGGGCGTGGCACCCTCAGGAGGGCGGAGGGGAGGAGGGTGGGGCCCTCAACGGCTTTGGGGGGCACAGCAGATCTTCCCTCCAGGTCTCCAATCACAGTGATCGTGAATGAAGATGCCACTGGTTCCCATCTGCTTCAGCTGAATTGTGTGCCCCCAAATCCATGTGCTGCACCCTAACCGTCTGTGCGACTATATTTGGAAAGGGGCCTTTAGGGAGGTAATTGTGTCCCGTGAGATCACTAGGGTGGGCCCTCGCCAACGTGACTGGTGTTCTCACACGGAGATGAGGGCGGAGGAGACGGCGTCTGCAAGCCGTGGCGAGGCCGCAGGGGACCCACCGCCCACACCTGGGCCTTGGACTCCCCTCCTAGGCCTGAGACAGGCACCTTGGCCTGGAGGGTCTGTCCCAGCCTGGGCTGCTAACAGCGGCCTGACCGTGGGTGCACGTGGCTCCCAGCACTCAGCTGGGAGGACCCTGGGGAGCCTGGCGCACAGGCAGGATGCTCGACCTTCCAGTGCCGCTGCTCAGCCACCTGCAGGCCTCCGAGCCCGTCAGTCCTGGTCCCGGGAAGCTGGCTGCCCAGGAGCCCAGGCTGCCCAGGCTGCCAGGTGGCAGCTCGTGCCACAGGCTCAGGGACCCACCTCCACGCTCTGCTGGGGCTCGGCAGGCGCCCTGGGGCTGGTGCTCGCGGGGGCCACTGGCTGTGTCAGGAAACACTCTCCACACACTCGGCTCTGCCTGCCGCTCTCTGCCTTGAACTCGGAGCACTTCCCACAAATGGCCTGCCAGACAGAGGCACCGTGACCCTCCCTCCCGAGGACAGAGGCCTGTCCTGGAAGAGGCGGGAAGGGCCACGGCCAGGAGACAGAACAGGCGGGCGAGGGGGGTCCTCTGCAGGCCCTGGGGGCCAGGAGCCTGGGGAGGGCGGAGACCAAGGCTGGGGGCCCGGTCTGCATCACAGAGAAGGGCTGGAGGAGGGCTGGGAGGAGGCGTGAGAATGGCTGCCCGGCCCCACTGCCCAGCTCACCGCCCCGCACAGCTTGCAGTGGTGCCTCCTCTTGGTGATGGAGTTGAACGTCTCGCCACAGCCCTTGCAGCTCTGCTTCTCCTTGTCCCGCCTGATCTTGGAGGACCCCCTCTTGGGCTCGAGCTGTGGGAGACACACGGCGCAGTCAGCCCCCAGCACACGTAGGGGTGGCTGTATGACGCATGGGCAGCACCCACAGGGGAAAACACTGATGTAGACAAGGGAAGGAAGCAGGAGCCCGTGGCCATGGCTGCCCCGCCTCCCCCCTGTCACACAGTGAGGCTCTCAGTGATCCGGACTCCATGCTGGGATGCTGGCCCTGCATGGGGGCCAGGGACTCAGTCACCGGAGGCCATGCTGAGAGAGACGGTGGCTGTCTGCACAGAGGTCCCAGTCAAGGACTGGGTGTCTGTCCTGAGCATCGGCTACACGGCACTCACGCGCCTACTCTATCTTCACTGGGCCCTGGAGCTTGGCACACACTCCTCATGGCACACGCGTGGCAGTGCAATCCCTGGGGCTGACAAGCGACTTCCAGCCTCCAGAGCCAGGAGAATGAATGCCTGTGTAGGTCACGGGTCTGTGGTATTTTGTTACAGAGCTTGAGCTGACTAATACTGAGACCTGGGTTCAAATTTTGACTGTACTTTCCAGCTGTGTGGCCCCCACTCACCATCCCCCGAGCCCCCATGGGCACCACCATGTGATGCTTGCACGGAATGGCACAAGGTGCCCGGGGCAGGCTGGCTCCTCCTAGGCTCAGCTTCTCTCCATGTCATGACCCCCTGCCCCACGGCATTGGGAGTCAGACAGCCCTGGGCCCCTGTCACTTTATCCCACAGAGGCCCTGCTAACGGGAGAATGGGCATCACAACCACTGTAAGCAAAACCAATGCTTCTCAGAACAACCAAGATGGCAGTGTAGGTAAACGCCGGTACTCACCACCTCCCACAACCACATTAAAATTACAACTAAAATACAGAAGACCATCATCCAGAACTGCCTGAAAGCTGGCTGAATGGAAGTCTTACAACTAGAGAAAGAAGAAAGCACATGGAGGCTGATAGGAGGAGTGGATGCTTGGAACGAGCTGGTCTGGCACCCACGTGTGCCACTTTTTTAATCGGGAGGGAGAGCATGTATGCAGAGCTCCTCCTCTCCCCCCATGAGGAGCAAGGGGTCCCAGATCCCAGCCCAGGGTCCCAGAGCTGAGAAGAGAAGCCCCCATAACTTCAGACTGTAAAAACCAATAGGGATTGAGGCTCAGAGACCCAGGTGTTTCTCTTAAAGGGATAGCACACTTACAAGGTATCTCTTCCTCTGAGCTCCAGCACCAGGGCAAAGATCTGGGGGACCCAGATACATAAGAGGTGACATTAGGGCAGGGACTTGGGGGTGGCTTTCTCCCAGACAAGGGTGCTCGCAGGGGTCATTGTTCTTGTGCTGGGACCTCCTGTGTCACAGAACTGACTTGCAGTCATATATGAGTCTCCATCAGCCTGGAGCACACTGTTTACTCCGCCCTGGGAATTCCCTGAGACCCTGACCCATCCAATTTGCAGCCCCTTCCAAGCTGTTTGTAGTGGCTTTTGCATATTAATGGTCTGTCCTTGCTCACACTTCAGACTTTGCTAAAATCTCTCAAACAAGCTGCAGCTGGTGACAGCATGCCCCAAACGTATCAATAAAAGGTCCAAGACCTGGCATTAGCACCAGCCTGCTTTGCTTCATAGCCAGGCCTCACCTGGGCACCTCCAAGCCCAATATAAATAGTAAATAGCAGCCATCTGCAGATCCCTCTGTAGCTCCTGCCAGGTGGCCCCAGGCAGTGGCTGACTGCACTTCCCTGGAGACTCAAGAGCCAGTGCACCCAGTGGTCAGTTTCAGACCACACCAGATTACAACTCTACACATCCACAAGTGACACACTCAAGGGCCAGACTCAGTGAGCACCAAAGCCCCACTGAAGCAAGTCCTGCTCCATAGGGGTGTTCCCTGCCAAGTAGCTCCCCCACTGTAGTCACAGCTGGTCCTCACAGCCAATTGCCTGGAGGTCAATTCCTCACAGTGACACCAACAACAATCAAGGCTCAACTACAACAAGACTGTGCACACAGCCCACAAAGGGGTGCACTTAGTGCCCACCTCAGGTGATTGTGGAGGCTGAGCCACTGGTCCCTATAGGACACCTACTACACAAGGCCACTCTACCAACTCAAGGAGACATAGCAGCTCTATCCAATACATAGAAACAAACACAGGGAAGCAGCCAAAATGCGGAGACAAAGAAACATGTCACAAATGAAAGAAATGGAAGAAAGCAAACTACTAGATATAGAGTGCAAAAACCACAGTTATAAGGTTTCAAGGATCTTAATGAGAGCTTCAAGGGACTTAGTGAGACTTTCAAGGATCTTAGTGAGAATGCAAAAAAAAAAAAAAAAGGAAAAGAACCAGTCAGAAATTAAGCATACACTGACAAATAAAGAATAATTTACAGGGATTCAACAGTAGAGTAGAGGATTCTGAGAATGAAATCAACAATTTGAAATATGAAGAAGCAAAAAACATCCAATCAGAAGAGCAAAAAGAAAAAAGAACCCAAAAATATGAAGAAAGTGTAAGGAGCTTCTGGGACCAACATTCGCATGGGAGTGCCAGAAGGAGAAGAGAGAGATCAAGATATTGAAAACCTATTTAAAGAAATAATGACAGAAAATGTTCCCTACCTGGTGAAAGCACAGAGTCCCAAACAAGAGGAACCCAAAAGAGGCCAACACCAAGAAACATTACAATTAAAATGCCAAGGGCTAAAGACAAAGAGAGAATCTTAAAAGCAGCAAGAGAAAAGCAGTTAGCTACCTACAAGGAAGCGCCCATACAACTGTCAGCTTTCTCAGCAGAAACTATGTAGGCCAGAAGGGAGTGGCAAGAAGTATTCAAAGTGATGAATAGCAAGGACCTATAACCAAGATTGTTCTACCCAGCAAAGCTATCATGTAGAATTGAAGGTCAGATAAAGAGCTTCACAGACAAGAAAAAGCTAAAGGAGTTCATCACCACCAAACCAGTATTACATGAAATGCTCATGGGTATTCTTTAAGAAGAGGAAGAAGGAGAAGAAAAAGAAAAAGATAAAAAATATGAACAATAAAAAGGCAATATTGAAATCTAATGAACAGAATAAACTGGTAAATAAAATAGAATTAGAGGCATGGAAATAGAACAGACTGATGAATCTCAAAGGGAAGAGGGTTGGGGGGGTCAGGAAGAGATTAAACAAAGATCTTATATGCATATATGCATTACCTACAGACACAGACAATAGGGTGGCGAAGGCCTGTGGGTGTCCTCCCCGAGCCACCTCTGGCCTTGTCCGCCAGCCACACTGAGCCCTCCCCTATCAGGGCTCCTTCCCTGGAGACGTCTCTCAGGACTGCTGGGTGAGCCCCAGGGAAAGGAAGAGGGTGGAGGCAGCCAGGCGTTGGGGATGCTAGGGGAGGGGCTCACGCAGCAGCAGCACCGGGAAGAGGCCCTGTGCCCACAGAGGGTCTGGCCTGGGAGGGGATGTTTCTATGCTCCTGCACAGAGCACAGAGCGAGAAGGCTCTGGGCTCAGGCCCCGCTGCGGGGCTTCCTGGTGGGGCTTAACTTCTCGTAGGAGAGAGGAGCTTGCAGGGACTGTGTCTGAGAACCCCAGGATCAGACCAGCACCCCACAAATGAGCTTACTCTTCCTCTCCAAATATGCTAAGAAAAAGCTTATACCTGGCATCTTGTAGCAAAGATCATTTTTTGGGGGTGTCAGAATTAAGGCCCACTTTTGAGTGCCTCCTACAACGTCACTGAGTCTTGCCCCGAGACGCAGAGCTGCACACCGTGGCCGGGCCACGCATAGCTGGCCCCACAGGCCGTCGGCTGCTGCTTGTTTGTTCGTACTGGGGCCCAGCCCCAACCTGGGTGGGTAAAGGGCCCGGAACAAGGAGACCTGGACTTCGACCTGGAGCCCCTGGAGGGCTGAGCCCCGGACAGGAGGAGGGGGAGCCTGTGCACCAGGGGCCCAGCATGGCCATGGCCCACAGCTCTACTGGTCAAAGCCTGGCTCAGGCAGACCCACCTTCTCACCCATCAAAGGAGGGGGGCGGCCAATCGGAGGGGTCCCTTCCACCTAGAACATTCTCTGAGGGGGCCCCACACACCCCGCCCACCTCTTGCTCCTCCCTCCGTGCCTTAGGTCCCCCTGACACGCAGCCCACGGGCTGCACTGCACCACATCCAGGGCTCAGCCCCTGTGCAGCCACCTGGCCCTTTAAATACATCCTCATGTTGTGACCCAACCATAAAATTATTTTCGTGGCTACTTCATAACTGTAATGTTGCTACTGTTATGAATCGTAATGGAAATATCTGATATGCAGGATGGTCTTAGGCGACCCCTGTGAAAGGGTCATTCGACCGCCAAAGGGGTTTCGACCCACAGGTTGAGAACCGCTGTAGCTGTTCCAGGAAGGAGCCTGGCAGTGCCTCCTGCCTGCACTGCCCGGGCTGAGGAAGGTGAGCAGGCTCAGGATAGGGGTCTTGGGCATATGCCTCCCTGGACCCATCCTCCTGGGCCCAACAGACTGGTCAGATGCCACCTCCAAGAAGCCTTCCCTGATAGCACCCCTCAGGCCCTCCTGCCAGGGCCCCTGTCTGCCCGAAATCCCCGTCCACGGGATGACCTTTCCTCTCTGGACGGTGGAGCCCTTTAGGGTGGAACTGCCTCGTTTCACATTGATTCAGCACGTATCACACGAGGAGAAGAGCTCAGGTCTCCAGAGCTCAGCTGGGACCTCCACCCACCGAGGACATGCACATCCAGGTCCCAGTGGCCCCCCAACCCTCCCCCAACAGGCCAGGATCATCACTGTGGGGACCTGCTCACACACAGGTCACTGTGGTCTGAACTCACCCTTCAGGCCACCCTAGTTAGACCCAAGTGTCCACCTCCTGCCTCTGCTGGGGTCACTCACCCCTGCAGCACCCCCTCTGCCGTCGGCGGCCACCGCAGGCTCCTCGAAGCTGGCACTCGTCGTCTGAAAGGGACAGAGACAGTTGGCAGAGTGGAGGCTCGGCCACATGCCAAAGTCCAGGGCAGCATTGGGATCAGCCCAGACCTGCACCTGACCATCAGCCCCGCAGTGAGCAGCCCTGGTCCCGGCTCCTCCCTCAGGTGTCCTTGTAGAGAGCTCTGCACCTGCCTGTTTTCTTTCAAAATAATCCAGAAAGCAGAAAAAATCGAGCAGATTTAATGCAAATATTAAGTAGATAGCGAGGTGGCCTGCAGGCCGAAGTTTGGCCGCAGAAAAGGGTGCCACCTGGCGTCTGGGTCTCGGGGCTGCTGGCCAGGCTGGCGGGGCACCCAGCAGCTTCAGGACACCCGGTGGGCAGCCTCACTCTGGAGCCCAGACAGAGGCTGTGCCGAAGCCCCAGGTGGCCCCCAAGGGACAAGGGATGGCTACAGCCCTGACCCCACCGCCAGGCCCAGGCGGCCTGTGTGGGGACAGTGAGCGGCCCACAGCACCGCCTCCTGCTGCGGCCCCACCGGGGCCACCTGGCCTGGAGGCACAGTGGTCCCCAGAGGTACTCGGTAGAGAGTGGGCAGACGTCAGCTGTCCACCAGCCCTGGCCCTGGGCATGAGGATAACTCCGGGTGGGGGCAGCCTCCCTTCCTGACGCCAGCCCTGCGCGCAGGCTGGGCAGTGTGCTGGGCACTGGCTCCCGCAGCCACATGCCCACCCAGGCGCCTCCCACACAGCTCCCGGCTCGGGCACTCACAGCGGGCTCTGGAGTCTGGGAGGGGTCCTCATCTTGGCTGAAGGCGGCGCTGAAGGCCTTGAAGGTCTGGCTGTTCTGTTTGTGCTTCGAGATGGTGGCTTCGATGACCTGGAGCAGGCAGGGCACAGGCCTCAGCGGTGCTCACAGCGTCCCGTGCGCCCATGTCCCCTGACCCTGCACACGGGAAGCGCCCCCTGACAGGAGGAAGTGAGGCCCTGGGACGTGACTGACAGCAGCCGGGCCTCCCACCCGCTCCGTCCGGTGCCACAGTGCAGCGGGCTCCCTCGCGTGGTGCTCCCAGCCACGGATGTTCTCTGTGGGTGTGAGGCCTGTCTCCCTTTCCTGCAGTCCATTTCCACTTGATCTCTGACTTTCCTTCTCTCCCACCCAGATACCGCTTCTACGCATTTTGGAAGCCACAGTCTCTAACAATTAGTGTTTGGCCTGGCCTGGCCACTCCGGGCTCCCTGTGCTGCCCCGGGTGCTGCCACCTTCCCGCCCGTCGCCCCTGGAAGCACAGGCTCCATCCTGTGAGTCCCACCCCTCGTCCTGCTCTGCCTGCCAGGCCATGGAGAGGGCAGTGTGGCCCCTCCCCAGAGCCAGCGGACAGCAGACGTCCACCCCCAGGGGAGGGCACCTCCCTGATACCCACCTCCAGGCCCTGCATAGGTATGTTTTTAATTGATTTCAGAGAGGAAGGGAGAGGGAGAGGGAGAGAAAACATCCATGATGAGAGAGAATCATTGGTCAGCTGCCTCCTGCACGCCCCACACCGGGGATGGAGCCAGCAACCTGGGATGTACCCTGACCGGGAATGGAACCATGACCTCCTGGTTCATAGGTCGATGCTCAACCACGGAGCCACGCTGGCCAGCTCTTTATGTTTCTCTATTTACCGGGGGGGCCAAGCAAGCACATTGAAAGGCTCGTGGTGTCTAAAGGTGCTTATGAACTTGGTCAGTCCACCACTTCGAGGCAGACCGGTAGGGCACGGCCTGGGGCTACTCAAGCCTTTGTTCCAACAGGAAAGGCCATACTGCTCAAGAATGAGGTGACTTTAGGAACTTCACCTGAATCCATTCTTTCTTCTCCTCTTCCGTCCTAGGAGAAACAGAAACAGGTTTTATGACTTCAGCTTTGGATCCTGAGTAACCGCCTCCTGATTCCTCCCCACCCTGCCGCCATGCCCGAGCGCGCACTGTCTCCAAGGGCAGTTTCAGACCCAGAAGACGGCCTGCAGGGCTCCAGGACACTGGCCAGAGGGGGTCAGGTGCAGCCAGGTGGGGTCAGGTGTGAACAGGTGGGGTCAATTGGGGCCAGATAGGGTCAGGTAGAGTCACATGGGTCAGGTGGGGTCAGGTGTGAACAGGTGGGGTCAGGGATAGTCACATGGGTCACATGGGGTCAGGAGTGCTGGGGTGGGAGGTGTGGAGTGCAGAGGCCTCTGCAGTGGAGGTGAGGCAATGCCTCCTGGACACAGTGGATTATCACCAAGGCCCTGGGTGGGAGGAAGGGTCTCCCACACTTTGTCACCAGTCAGAGCACAGCCTGGCACGGCCCTCCACGGTGGCGTGACAACAGCTACCGGCCCCGAAAGCAGACGTGCTGCCCTATGGCCCACAGTTCTGTGTCAGGAGCCCACCTGGCAGGTGCTGTGGCCAGACCCCGTGGAGCCTGGGCCCCGCCAGAGAGCCAGTCAGTGACCATTGGGAAGCATTACGTGCTTTAGGAAAGGTGCTCTGACTGAGATGGTTTCTGATAAATTAAGTGAAAAAGGCAAGATGCAGAACAGGCTGTACAGTAACCAGCCATCTGTGTGTGAGCACACAGACCCTGCGGGCGTGTGAGAGGTGGGAAGGGTGCCCCCTGGGGGGTGGGGAGGGGGCTTATCCTGCATGGACTCCCCTCATTCAGGTATGGCCTAAACCACAAATAAATGAATAAATAAAAACACACAGCAAGGTGGTCTGGTTTAGAAAGAGAAGCCGCCGGCTGAAATTCCCGGCCAAAGACTGAGTTCACACAGCAGCGAAGGCTGCGCAGCTGAGCCTACCGGGCGCGCAGCTCCAGGGCCCGGCTCCTCCCCGTGAGGATGAACGTGGGGGCTGCTGGCGGCTTGCTGGTGTCCTGCACCTAGAGGACACGGCGAGGACAGAACGGAGCAGTCACCGAGCGGCCTGCACTCACCCTGCTCTCCCCACGGAGGCCTTCTGAGGAGGCTCCCTGGGTCCCACGAGAGCTACGGTTGCCACCGGCAGGTCTGCGGAGGGCGAGCCAGGACCTCCCCCCACCAGCCCGCCTGGCCCGCGCCCTGGACCGGCTGAGCCCGTCCCCACCAAGGAACCCGCAGCAGGAGGAGAGCGGGAGGGTGCCCATGCCTGCAGGAGTGCCTGGCTCCGGGCGGCCCTCAGCGTGACCCGCAGACCAGGGCCCGCGCTCGGGGCAGGGCCGGGCTGCTCAGGGGGCCGCACAGGGGCCTCCCGATGCAGCCCCAGGCGGAGGACCGCTGCTCTCACACACCCAGTGGATCGCACACACTGATTTTCTTTTTCTTTCTTTTCTTTTTTTACAGGGAAACACTAGAAAACTAGTTTCTTCTAACTATGGTCATTAGTTAGTCATTACTTTGAATGGTATTTCTTAAACCTGGATTCAGAGAATTTCAAAGTAAGAAGAATTTTTTTGTATCACTAGGGCAAAACTTCCCTTTCTAGAATGGATCAAATACTTGGATTTGGCCATTATGTTTGAGCTCCTATCGATCCACAGCCTTGCGCTGCCGCCCCGGCTCAGGCGCAGGCCCTGGAGCCTCACGGGGCCCGGAGGTGGGGCAGGAGACGGGAGCATGGACGGGTCAGGCACTCACCTCGACTTCGCCTGTGGTGCTGTCAGGGGGCCCTGAGCACTGACCGCACAGGGGCCAGGGGCCAGCCCAGGTCCTGGGCCCTCCTTCAGCTGTGAGCGCGAGCCCCACAGGACCTACCCTGGCAGGTGGGCCAAGCAGAGGGACGGGATCCTGCCCACGGGCCCAGGACGCCAGGCCCAGGCAGCTCGGCAGCAGCCCTGCTGTGCCTGGGTCACGGACAGAGCAGAGGCTGCAGAAGTGGGCCAGTGCTGGCTGCACAGCGGGGACCAGAGCCGTGTCCCCAAGCCTGCTCTGTGCCTCCCAGGGAGGGGGGAGGCGGGGGCTCACCCACCTGGAGGTCGGAAATGTCCATCTTTTCCCGGACACTGAACTTCTGGCCCAGGAGCCGCGGTTTGGGCACGCAGTAGAGGACCATGCTGTTGAACTTCCACAGGGACAGCAGGGTGAGGGGCAGGCTGCTGCCAGGGGCCCTCAGAGGAGGCTGGGCAGGGGCAGGGTTGGCGAGCGGGGTGGGGGGGCGGGACGGGGAGGGGGGCAGGGCTCACCAGGAAGAGGTGGCGGTCCTGGGCGGCGCCCGTCTTGGCCGACAGCTTCTGGATGTGGCCCTCCTTGATCAGCTCGTTGGCCGGGTTGACCACAGCCTCCTCCCCACCCAGCTGCTCGTACACTTCCAGGAGCTTGTGCATTTTCTCCTGCAGGACACAGGCCAGGCGGCTGTGCGGCCCGCGGCGAGGCTGCGGGGCCTCTCAGGCCTTGCTTCCCACTCCACGAGCCCAAGAGCCCAGACCGCCATCTGTCTGCTGCTCCTCTCCCTCTGGCCCACGACTGGCTGGTGGCAACATGACCAACCAGTGCCCCAGGGGTGCGATGGGAGAGTCGGCGACTGTGGCCCCAGCTCTGAGCCAAGAGGCCCTGGGCCTGACCTGTCACTCCCACGGGGCCTGAGCCAGGAGTGAGGGGGAGTGCAGTAGAGGCAGCAGCACCCGAGGGACCCCGACGCACACACTGCTGCAGCCTCTGCCCTCGAGCCTGCGTCATCTCAGCCTGCAAACTTCAGGAGCAGACTGGTTGGCCAGCCCTTGTGCTTTTGGTACAGAAACAGATGGTACATGTGGGTGCGGGGACAAGAAGGGAACTGGCATTGAGAGCGAGGAGGACCAGGAGGGTAGGGCTGAAGGGCTTTGTATGGACCGGGGGCTGGGTGTGCACCTGGGAGCAGATGGGGAATAAGGATGCAGGAAGTAGACCACACACAGAGCTGTCCCAACCCAAGCCGCCCACCCTCAATCTCACCTTTGAGAAAACTGGGATTTAAAAAGGTATTTCACTTTCTTTTTTCTCTCAAAAAACAACAGTGCCCTGCAGAATAACATTGACTGTAAACTAACGGAAAGAACAGGCGCAGCGGCTGTGCGTGCAGCCAGGTCTCGGGGTGGAAGACAGGCACGGGGCGGGTGGGGACGCGGCCGCCGGAAGCGGGGTTGCAGGCCAAATGGGACAGAGCCGAGAGTCCCAGGGTCGGCGAGGGCTCCACACCCCGCGAGCCCGTTACACAGAGGTGCTCGCTCAGCAAGGCTGCATGTGGAGGAAAGGTCACCCTGGGGGCAGAGCCCGGGCCGGGGTTGGAGCCTGAGAGGAGACCCCAGGGCACTGGTTGCTCCCTCGGCCGGGAGGACACAGTGCAGAGGCAGCTGCTGGGAGCCAGGCCGAGCCCTGGCACCTGGATCTGGGCCTCCAGAGTGCGAGACGTGTGCTGTGTGAGCGGCCCCGTCTGTGGGTTTGTCACAGCACCTGACCTGGCCGGCAGGTGAGTGGACGAGTGAGTGAATGGAAGTGAGGGAACCCTGAGAGCTAGTCCTGTGCCCGGTCCTGTTCTCCTTCCCACAGTGATTTAGCCCCCGAACAGCCCGGTGAGACAGGTCTGCCAGTGACTGTGTTTTATAGACTAAGGCACGGAGCGCTGAACACCTACCAATGATCACCGAGCTCATACGGGCAGGCCTGTCTAGTGCTCAGCAGGGCCCGGTCTGCCCTGAGGGACATGTGGGAGCGTGTGCATGCCGATGAAACCGCCTGGGGACAGGTGTGTGTGTGTGTGTGTGCGTGTGTGTGTGTGTGTGCTCACTGATGGAGCCCACCTGGGGACAGGTGTGTGTGCGTGTGTGCATGTGTGTGTGTGCGCTCACCTGGGGACGTGTGTGTGTGTGTGTGTGTGTGTGCTCACTGATGGAGCCCACCTGGGGACAGGTGTGTGTGCGTGTGTGCATGTGTGTGTGTGTGCTCACTGATGGAGCCCACCTGGGGACAGGTGTGTGTGTGTGTGTGTGTGTGTGTGTGCTCACTGATGGAGCCCACCTGGGGACAGGTGTGTGTGTGTGTGCATGTGTGCATGTGCATGTGTGCGCTCACTGATGGAGCCCACCTGGGGACAAGTGTGTGCGTGTGTGTGCATGTGCGTGTGTGTGCTCACTGGTGGAGCCCACCTGGGGACAAGTGTGTGCGTGTGTGTGTGTGTGTGTGCTCACTGATGGAGCCCACCTG